AAAAAAAAAAAAAAGAAAGAAGGAGATATATTGGTAAAAATTACAATCTTCCAAACATATACAATTTCTATGAATCTTTAAGCACCTAATAACCCAGCTTCAAAATATATAAAGCAAACGCTGATAGAAACCAAGGAGAAATGAACAAATCTATGGCTATGGATGAAAGCTTTAATAGACCTGTCTCAGAAATTTATGGATCAAGTAGAAAAAAGTCATAATGAAAATAATAGAGGATTTGAATGACACATTTTATCAACTTTAATAAATGTTATATCTAACAAATTGAGAAGACTTTTTTTTCCAATACACTTTAAAAGAAATACTCAAATTATTTAAAAGATATAGCAGCCATTTTCTCTGTCTACAATACATGAACATAAATTAGCCTCGGCCATGTGTGGTATCTCACGCCTGTAATCCCAGCACTTTGGGAGGCCTAGGAAGGCAGATCACAAGGTCAGGAGATTGAGACCATCCTGGCCAACATGGTGAAACCCCGTCTCTACTAAAATACAAAAAATTAGCCAGGCATGGTGGTGCATGCCTGTAGTCCCAGCTACTCGGGAGGCTGAGGCAGGGGAATTGCTTGAACCCAGGAGGAAGAGATTGCAGTGAACTGAGATCATGCCACTGTACTCCAGCCTGGTGACAGAGCGAGACTCCATCTCAAAAAAAAAAAGAAAAAAAATTAGCCTCAAAATGCTGGGATGTGATGACACTCCATATTTACCTGGAAGTGTAAACTAATTTACAGGAAATTCCCCGGAACACGAAGCCTAGCTTATCTCTGCTACAGCTCAGCTCCGGGGTGTACTTACGAGTATAAATCTCCCATATGAATGTCACCTTCATGGTATCCCAGTAGGAGGAACATTATCTCTGTTCCCAGTAGTACTCAGCCTGGTATTCAAAGCCCAGGTGCCACAATCTGACTCCAGGCTGCCTCTCCTTTTTCACCTCTCCCGCTTCTCCAACATGCAAAATGCCATAAACTCTTGGTACACTCACCACCTCTTGGTTATTCCTAGGATGTCTGGGAGCCCGTATTCTTGGTCCATGACACTCATCTTGTTGCTTAACTCATGCCCTATTACTTAACTGTAAATCTTGCTTTCTCAAAGAGCAAACTATGGATCAAGGGCCAAGTCTGGCCTGACTCCTGTTTTAATAAATTTTTATTGGAACATAGTCACGTCCATTTACTTATATAATGCTAATGGCTACTTTCCCCATAGTTGAGTAGTTATAACAAGATGATATGGTCTGTAAAACCCCAAATATTTACTGTATATGACCCTTTATAGAAAAACTTTGCTGTGTAGAGAACTTTCTTCCTCTTGTGGTCATCTTACCAAGCTGGGGCACAAGAAGAACCCTTACTGCTCATTGCTTGGTGAATAAAAAATAACTGGTTAAAAGGCTGGACGAGGTGGCTCACATCTATAATGTGTGAGCACAAAGAGCATCCTTGCTATTTCCTGCACATGCAATTCTTTACCAGTTTTTGTTTGTTTTTTTTGAGATGGAGTCTTGCTCTGTCACCCAGGTTGGAGTGTAGTAGTATGATCTCAGCTCACTGCAACCTCAGCCTCTCGGGTTCAAGTGATTCTTCTGCCTCAGCCTTCCAAGTAGCTGGGATTGCAGGCACCTGCCACCATGTCAAGCTAATTTTTTTGTATTTTTAGTAGATACGGGTTTCACCATGTCAGCCAGTCTGGCTTCGAACTCCTCATCTCAAGTGATCCATCCACATCAGCCTTTCAATGTGTTGGGATTATAGGCATGTGTCACCAAGCCTGGCTTCCTTACTCTGAAATATGATTATCGACTTCCTGGAATCATTCTCTGGGTGTTTCCTGTGAACCCAGATACCTGCCCACACTGATTTGTCCCCGCCAGGGGTCTAGTGAGCCCTTGAGGGCTGGTCACTTGATTTGACAACAGTGGCAGGCACTGGGCAGGCCCAGCCTGGCTCTGGGCTGAGTGAGCATGCACCCACTGGGCACAGCATCCTCATTCCCAGCCACCCTAGACAGCTTTGCCTGCCTAGGGTGAAATGCCTGCCACCAGAGAAGCATTACGTTGTGATTATTTTTACCCTCAAGATAGTCCTCCATTAAAATACAGGTAATTCCTGGAAGGAAGCCACCTGCGTCCAAGTTCTTGAGTCACAGCCTCTGGGGTCTTAGCCTTTCAATGGTCAGCTAAACCCTGGGTTGTTTGCAGCCTCAAATGAGATCATATCGCTGAAAATGATTTCAACATTGTGAAGAGAAATATATAAGCAAAGGATTATTCTCAGTCATTGTTGGAAGGTATTAGCAATTATCCCCCCACTTATTGAAAATGGCATTTGAAACAGGCCCCCAAAGAGTGATTCTCTAGTGATTGAATTCCAGACCACAAAGTAAGTCAAAGGCATTTATGGTGCCAGAGGCAGGTACTTTCCCACTCAAAGCCCGCTGCTCAGGTGGCCACCAACTCAGCCACTGCCTGAATTCTAGGCCAGTTCTGACCACTGAAGTCTTAGAGCAAAGAAAGGGCTGTTGATGTGACAGCTGTTGAGCTCAGAAGTGTAGAAGCAGGAAGAGTCTTGGAAGCCTCTCATTTTACAGACGAGGAAATTGAGGCCCACAGAGAGAAAGCTGCTCACCCATCCAAAGTCAGGGAGCCTAAGAGAAAAGTACGCCTGGGCCAAAATAGCTGGGGGTGGGGCTGGGGGCCAGGAGGGGGCCGAAGACAGAAGAGGCTGGCCTCTCTCAGGGGCTGTCCCTATGCACGCCCAGCACAGATGGACAGAGGACTCCACTCAGCCTCTCATCCGGCTCTCCTCCCCCATTACCCCACCCCTACTTCCCAGTGCAACCAACCTCTCCTGCCTGGGACCACTCTGCCAATAGAGGCTTCCCATCCAGGCCCTTGGCCCACAGAGAGAAAGTCCGAAACAATGCCTCTAAACTGAAAACATTTTTGTCTTTCTCCACAGAACAATGGCCATTAACAGGCATGGAAATGGAGCAGAAATGGAATGAACCCTAGGGGCCTGGGAGCCTGGAGTGGTGTGAGAGTGGGGAGGGGATTGGGAGACAAGGGACAGAGGAGAATGCCTGCCCCCACCTCCTTCCATCACCCCTTGTACCTCCCCCCCAGTGAGGTGCTTCTGGTGGCACATGACTTCATTGCAAGCACCACTTAACCACCCCCCCCATACTTTCATGAGATTCCTGGAGGCTTCACAGGTGCCTCCCACCCCAGCCATGCCCTGGGCACTCACCACATACCTGGAAGTCCAGGAGCTGCAACAGGGGACAGCTTAAAACAGCCCCACCAACACCCCAAAGTGGGTCTCCCAGCTCCCTGAGAAGGCCTGGATGCCCTCCTGAAGGGTGAGCGGGGCCATATGGGTGACCTGGAGGACCCAATTCCCTGGCCATGGGAACCCCCAGCCTGGGCTTTCTTTGGGGGTAACTGAGACAACGAACCCCCACCCAGAGCAAGAGAGGACGCATTTTTTTCTGTGGCCACAAGCCACTTTGATGGGTCCGCCCCACTGGGGAGCAACTGAAACCTCATCCCACCCAGCGCGGCCTTTGTCTGCACTACATGTTTGTCTTATTTGGAAGATTTTTGTGGGTTTTCCTGTCTTTCTCCAGCACTCACTGCCCTGAGGGAGATGAAGGCCATGGCAGAGCTGAGGGAAGGGAGTGAGAGGCATTCTTGGGGCGCTGTGCCTGGTGGTCTGCAGCATATTTGGGGGTGGAAGAGAAATCTCCACACACCCTCAGCACTCCAGTGATGCCCTGGCCCCAGGCCACACTGTGGGCCTTGCCTGTCCTCTGGACTTGTGCCCCTCCTGGTCCTCCCAGGGCTGTTTCCTGCCTCAGGCTGCTCTCCGATACTTCAGTTTATTTCCTCATGTTCCATCCCTCCAGCCAGCTTGGCACCTCATCATTTCCTACCTCCCCGCTTTGGGGACCCTCCCTTTCTACCTGTCTGAATCCTGAAGACTCTCCCAGGGCTTGTTCCCCCATCTTGCCTCCTCTTGGGAGCCTCCCTGGACTACTCCAGTACTTGGCAGGATCTCCTCCTTCTAAAATCTAAAAGTATGTGTTTTCTTTTTCTTTTCTTTCTTTTTTTTTTTTTTTTTTTTTTTTTGAGACAGA